TTGATAGTGTTCAATCTGTTAATCGTTAATGTTCAACTCGTATAACCATAATGTGCATTTGTGATACATAAGAATATATAAAAACTAATAATTTTCTTTTATTTATAGTTCGATCGTTTCGGTTATTTATTTAAAAAACTAAAGTCGGTATCGAACTTATATAACCGTGATTTTAAATGTAAAATCATATAACCGAAATATAAAATTATGAAACGCAAAGTTGCATTCCTGTCAGATCGGTCTTTACGGTGCAATATGACAATCATTAATGTGCAATTCTTCTAAAGAAATTGTGCAATTGTAGCTTATGCATTGTCAATGTTTTGTTCCAAAATAAACTAAAGCGAAAAAACTGAAATAACAGTGATTTAAAAAGTAAAATCATATAATCGAACTGAAATATAAAATTATGAACCGAAAAAATTAAGTTCAGTGGGATCGGTCTTTATAGTGTAATATGATAGTCATTAATGTGCAGTGCGTCTAAGGCTATTGTACAATTGCATCGTATGCATTTTTAATGTGTTGTTCCAAAATAAATTAAAACGAAACTGAAATATCGATATGTTCGAACGGTTAACTGTATTATCTTGAATAATTTAAGTGATTTATTATGCATATTACAAAAATACATTTAATACTTTATATTAGTTTATTTTTTTGTTGGAAAACACTCATCGAAATCAATAATATGCCTCCCCACATACGTTAATGTGCATTTCATTTACCATTTATTGTACAACCTATTAATCAAATATTTTTTTTGTGTACCTTTTCAATTTTAAAAATATTAATAATGAGTATTTTTTTTAATGTGCAATTCTACATGTTATAATGCACATTTAATTAATATCTTTTGTGTATTATTTAACTTTTAAAAAATTACAGATTTTACCCAAGGTCTAAATTGAAATATATTTAATTATGAAATTGCATTTTACAAAATTTAATGATGTGTTTTCAATTGGAATTATTTTGCATTAATCAAACTATTTATATAATAAAAAATATATATAGTAATTTCAATTTTTAATTTAATATTTTATATTAATGTTTGTTGAAAGTAAATAAAAAAATGACAACAAAATACATTGTTATACAATTGTACAATATTGTCGCAATAATATGCAGTTGGACTAACATTATTGTGCAGTATGACAATCATTAATGTGCATATATTTTGTGTTCCGTCCAACTCCTTTTTTTTATGTGTACATTCAATCCAAAACCGAGCCAAAAACAATTGAGATATTCGGTTGGTTGGTTTAATTATCTTAATTAATTAAAATATTTTATTATTTATTATTTATAAAAGTATGTTTAATGTTTTAATATTATTTTTGGTTAACATAATATAATATATACATGTATAAAAAATTGT